CTTTCCCTATCTTGTTCATAAATGTTAATTACCGTAATGGCTTTAGTGTTTTTTTGTGTATCCTTACATTTTTAAGTGTTCAGGAAAGAGCAAATACAACTTTTCTACAGACAGTATCAAGCACTGACTTACTTCTTACTGGTTTATAACATTTCTTTGTTTTCCTTAGTGAATCCATCTTAGAGATATTGAGCATTTATTTAATTCACATTTTAAACTTCTGCCTAGTGAAGTATTTTTCTATAAATAGTGTAATAATCTTCTTATTTATGGATAATTAGGTTTTATTTTCCAGATTATAATTATTACATAAAATGCCACAATCAGTAGTCTATTTGTATATTAGTGTATATTAATCCATATTTTTATTTCAGTCTTTCCATCAGATAAATGCCTAATAATGGTATTACTAGCTAAAAACATCACACATATGTCAAATTTTGATACTAGCATATGGCTGGTATCAAACATTGCCCCTTTGGATTACATGTGCGAGTGCCTGAGTATTCAGATCTTTATCATATTCTCAGCATTGCACTATCTTTACTTTGCTAAGATTAATTGCTCTTATTTTTATTTTTTATTCTTTTTCTTTTCTTTTGTTGAGAGGTTTTTGCTATAGGGTGCGTGCGCTCACCAGAAAGACAGAGAGAGACAGAGTGACAGAAAGCAGAAAATCACCCCCCGGAGGGATGGCCACAATCTCTTCTCCTCCAGTCTCCTCTCGGGATCTTGGGCACGCACCCACCTGCGCCCATTATGAGTTTGACACCGGGTCCGGGACTCAAACCGTGTCGACTACATGGGAGTCCAGCAACATAGCCATTACTTCAACTACTAATCCTTATCTATTATTCTTTTAAGGTATGATATACTTTATTTTATAATTTTTGTGTATACATGAATATAAGTTTGTATTTTTTGTGCATGCTTTTTACATCAGTATTTCATGGGATACTGAGCTGTAATATTAATTTTGATCATATCTTAATATCATTACAGAAAAGTTTAACATAACAATGTATTATGTTTAATACTTCTGTGGGTTGACTGGCTTCAACAGGAGGGTTTTTCTGTTTTTTTTTTTTTTTTTTTTGACATTATCAGTATGACTGGAGACAATTTAAATGTGTTTAAAAGGAAATAATCAGGTGCTTTAAAGATATTAATATCAAAGACTAAAATGCCATAAAAATAATGTGAAAAAGAGAAATTAATGAGTGAGGACACTACTGATGCAAAACTTGATGACAAAATAATATTTTAAAATGATCTTCTCACAAGTGATTGGTTTTTGCTTATGTTAATAACAATGAGTAATTAAATCCACTCTTATTGACAACATATTTTATATATAAGGATTTTTTAGAAAAGCCTGATGGCAGTATCAATAAATGGCCATAATGTTTCTTCTGTTTCCCGCCCTAAGTGCTCCAATATAACTCTGTCTATTTAGTTATTAAATATCACCTACCGTCTTCTTTTCAAAGCACTTTGTGGACAGATCACATTCAGTCAAATGTAGGCTGGGAAATGCAGCTCTGTCGACTAAGGTGATTCTGAAATTCCTCTCTAGGGCACAACCTTTCAACACAACCTGAAACAACAGTTTGCTATTTAATTCATCAGCAGAAAAGTAGTTACGCTGAGGTGAAACATAAAGTTAGAAATGCCTAGCTCACATGGTCACCCTGTATTAATAATGACCCGTTTGGGCTACTCAAATGCCCTTTCAAATAAGGAAACATGGTGCTAATGTCAAACTTAAGAGCTACATTCATGAGCATGTTCTAGAACTATGGAAGGAACTTTTGTTTGTGGTTACTGGGTGCAGTAAAGGGAGAGATCCACTCTGGTGCGATAAGAACGCATTTGGAGGGAACCAGCAGTTAGCTTAATGGCTATGTTGCTGGCTTCCCACATAGTCGATCGCGGTTCGCATCCCGGACTTGGTGGCTTAGAACTCACGCCAGGCATGTGTGTGTGTGTGACCAAGATCCCGAGAGGAGAACGGAGGAGAAGGGATTGTGGTGTGGCCATCCCCCCTGGGGGGTGATTTCTCACTTTCTGTCTCTGTCTGGCGAGCGCATGCGCCCTAGAGAAAAAAAACAAACAAAAAAACCTCTCCAAAAAAAAAAAAAAACGCATTTGGAAACTTAAATCAGGCTATTGGGTATTCTTATTGGCAGAATTACCTCTTGGATGCCCCACCCGGGCTATTAATGCTGCTGTTTGGAATTGCATTATTGTAGCTTGTGAGTCGTCATGTCAGTTTAATCACGGGCTCCTTGCCTTGACTTCTGCCCTCATCTCTTCCACAGTATTCACATGGCTTTGGAAGCTTCTCACTCTGGGAGAACTGAGAAAACTTGTTATTAGTAACTTCTGTCTCCAAATGTTCAGCACTGAAATTAGTTGTGCAGAGGAGGTGGTTTTAATCTTTACTGCTAGCTACCATTAGCACAGTTTGGTAATCTCTGCTTATTTGTCTCTTCTGTGCTATTAATAAACTTCATACCTTGCGATCAAATTATTAATTTAGCTACCACCTTAGTTGTATGAAGGAAAAAAAAAAAAAGAGGACAGCTTGTGTTCTACACTTCAAGAAATAGAACCTTAATCCTTTAAGGTGTTAGTTACGCTATCAATACCTGGGGATAGAAGGAGCCCTACTGTTCAACTGACAACTGGCTTCTTCCCCTGCCTTCGTAACTTATGGACAAGTGCCTCTGCTGAACATGATTTTTCATCCTAGACTAAGTCTGTCCAAAGTTGGAGTGTAATGGCAACCTGAGAAAGAAAATTATAACTGTTCCAACAGAAACATGATTTAGAAAAAGAAAACAAAAATAAATAACATACACTTACATGCATGGCATTCCCTTTTGAAAAAACAATGTAATACACTGTAAAGTTATATGTAATCCAATGTAATATAAAGAAGATTATGATGATAATAAAAAATTAAAAAAAGACATTGGCTTTAGCATGAGATAGAATTATCTCAATGCATATCTACTGTGACAAAAACCTTTAAAAAATTTATAAACTTCTATCCAGGGAAGTCACTAATGTGCTATATATGAATGTCTCTAAGGATTCTCAGAAGTTAGCATGCATTAGAGGAACTTGTTAAATGTAAAAGTGTTTGGATTTACTTCCAGAGATTCTTTTTTAATAATTTGTGATTTTGGGAGGGCAATAAATAGCACACTTTTCTTCCTTCCTGAAAATAATAAATAAATAAATAAATAAATAACATACACACACAGGAAGAATGTTAATATGATGGTAAGATTTCACAGTCCACTTTCTGAAGTGCTACTGGGGTTAACAGGAAGTATTTGAACCTAATATAAGTCCATCATTTATTTGAACGTGAGACTGAATTTTTATCCTCATATTCTCTGTTCTGATTCTTTTCAGTTGTTTACCACAGTGTTCCAGTAAAAGTGTTAGGATAAATTAAGATGTACCAAACATACCTTTTAGCGCCTAAGAGTTCAGGACAGAACTTTGGATGTGGACTAAAAATTCTCACTGTCGACCATTTTTAAATCCACTTTCCTGTCTGCTGTTCCAACAGTATTCTTATTGGCAGGGTCACCTTTCAGACGCCCCATCGGAGGTATTAATGCTGCTGTTTGGAATTGCATTATTGCAGCATGTGAGTCACTAGATATTTAAATATCTAACTTTAACATTTTTCCAATAGATCCCCCTCTGTAAGGTACTTAAATTACATTGTTATGCCCACACCACAAGCCTACCTATACCTGTGGTAAAATACTTCATTTGGGATATCTTATTTGCTAGGCTTTTAATTTTGATTTGGTTCAATATTACTTCCTGCTGTATCTGTCTCCATCAATTAGTTGAGAATAACAAAAACATGATGTGTCACTACAATTGTGGAAATTAATCATTAAAAGAGGTGGAAATACATTTTTTAGGTTCAAGAGACTCTAAAACCCCATTAGGACACTTTCTTTGTTTGACTAATGATGTATAAGAACAGTGAGAGTCACGGGTGATGGTTCCTCTTGGAAGAAATCAATTACTGTCTCATCCACACTCTCCGGTGGGAACAGAGTGAATGGCAATACAATTCCAGCTGGCACAACACCTTATAAAATGCCTCCCTTTTCTGGCTAACATTCGAAGTGTATCAAGTAAAAGAAGGCACTAATTCTGTTGTTTATGTATTTCTTTGTCTTGTCCTCATTTCACTGGATTACAGAAACAATGCAAATTTATGCTGGGTGAATGATTTAGTTATGTATTCTGCAAAATTAAATATTATAAGGTTTCAATATTATTTCATTATAAGACTCAGAAACATTTAATTTTTTTTTTTTTGGTTTGACAGCTAATTTAAAATCCAGTAGGATATCTAATATACATCTAAAATTTTTAATCTCTTTGAAAAACATAAATTTCTAGCTAAGAGGGGTAGTGAAGAAAAAGAGATAATGAATTGTTCTTTTATTCTTTAATTATTGCATCAGCCAACAACTTGTCTGTAGGCTGAAGCCAAATCCCAGATGAATGTCAAAATCTAAATAATCTAGGAATCATGTATTTTGGCACTGTAATCTTATAACAATAGAGGGAAAGGGCATTACTGATTCTCTTATCTTGCATAACAACTTGGTAAGGTCCAGCTGAAGCAAGCTATCATCTACTTATTTCGGGCCAAAAATATCTGATCATTCTGAAGAAATTATGCCTCTCTAAGGCCAAAGCATCCCACTACATCTGTATGGCATTTAAAACTAATTCAACCACACCAGAGGATTATCTTGAAGAAAGACTTTGAAGGAAGAAAAAGAGACTGATCTTTGCTGGAAGATGGTATGTCACAGAATACTTGGTAGGCAGGGCTGCATTGAGAAGGTTTATGTGTGCTTGTGTGGTGGGCTTTTGCTTTTCAACAATTTGAGTAGTTGATAATGTAAATATGTTCTCAAAAATATTTAAAACCATACTTCCTCTGTTGTTATAGAGTCACAAACAAAATTATACAGATTTATTAAAAATATTTTGAACATTATTTTTAAAACTCAGTATTTTGAAATTTTGAAAGCTCTTTTTTTTTGGAGAGATTTTCACTGTAGGGCACGTGCGCTCGCCAGACAGACAGAGAGAGACATAGAGACAGAAAGCGAGAAATCACCCCGCCCAGGGGGGATGGTCACGCCGCAATCCCTTCTCCTCCATTCTCCTCTCGGGATCTTGGGCACGCACGCACATGCGCCCGGCGTGAGTTTTAAGCCACCGGGTCCGGGACACGAACCGCGGTCGACTACGTGGGAGTCCAGCGACATAGCCATTACGCTAACTGCTGGTTCCTGAATTTTGAAAGCTCTTTATCAACTGTCGAGAACTATGGAGTATGAGCTAAAATTTTTTGATATGCAAAGTAAATGTTTGTGGAAAAAAATGTAAAACTAAATTAATTAATAAAAAACCAATTCAAATGCAAATAAAAAAACTGAAATAATGTTTTATGCTAGATAGACAAAGGAGAACTGTAATGTAAAAATAAGCTCTGGGGCCAGGCAGTGGCACAGTGGTAAAGTGAACTGTTTTGTGAGACTAGCCCTCATAGGAGGTTCTAGGTCTGTGTCTGGAAACCTTCTTGAGTACCCTGGACACACACGTGACCATGATCTGTGGCTCGCTGAGATTGGGAGTGGATTCTGGTATCAGGACCATTTTGGTAGTGCTGTCTCTTAGTCTCTCTATCTCTGTCTCTCACAGTCACAGACGAGGTAAGCAAATAAACAAACCAATGATGTTTTGAAGATTAGATGAAATAAAGAGAAACTGCATTGCTGAGTAAATTCATGTAAACCCAAATAAAGGAAATTGTTCTGGGAGATCAATTAGAAGCCCCTGGAAACTTGAACAAGAATTTTTAAGGTACCGTTTAAGTTTGTTTAGGCTACTATAATAGACCACTATAGACTGATTAACTTATATATAGAACTGTGCCACTGCCTGGCCCCAGAGCTTATTTAACATTACAGTTCTCCTTTGTCTATCTAGCATGTAACATTATTTCAGTTTTTTATTTGCATTTGAATTTTTTTTCATTAACTAATTTATTTTTACATTTTTTCCACAAACATTTACTTTACATATCAAAAAAATTTAGCTCATACTCCATAGTTCTTGACAGTTAGTAAAAAACTTTAAAAATTTCAAAATACTGAATTTTAAAGATAATGTTCAAAATATTTCTAATAAATCTGTGTCATTTTGTTTGTGACTCTATAATAACAGAGGAAGTGGCTTACAAACATTAGAAATTTATGTTTCACAGTTCAGGACATTGGCAAGTACAAGATTAAGGTACTAGTAGATTTTGTGTCTGGCGATGGCCTACTTTCAGGTTCGTGGCCATCTTGTTTTGTTCTCACATGGCAGAAGAGCCAAGGGAGGTCTTCTGGGTATTTTTTCATTAGACCACTGAACTCATTCTTGGGGCTAAACTTTCATGACCTGATCATCTCCACGTACTATCACTCTGAATATTAGGTTTCAAGATATGACTTTTGTGGGGTCGCATTTAGTCTATTGCAGGTACATTCTAGAAAATACTCTTTTTAGAAGATTCCTTGGGGAAACAAA